AAAGATATTTCTGGGTAAGAAAAGAAATTTAAAAATTAAAAAGTCTGGAAAAATAAAAATGACAATGCAACTTTCAAAACCTACTAGATGCAGGAAAAATCTTAAAGAATTAAAATTAAAAAATAAATGACTATAAAAAAGAAGGATCTCAAATAAACTCCATATGTTACACCTTATGGACATTCAAAGGAAGAAGAAATAGTGCCCAAACTTACAGAAGCTAGTGAACAACAAAGATCAGAGAAGAAATGGAAAAAAAAGAAAAATAATGGTAGAGATTCATGAAACTGAGTTAATATTTTGAAAAGCTAAACAAATTTTGCAAGCCATTAGCTGGAGTAACTAAAAAATAGAGATGATTAAAATAAGAAAAATCAGAAATGAAAGAGGATACATTACAACTGTTAACACCAAAATACAAAAGCTCTGAGAAGATGACTATAAACAATGACATCAGTGAATTGGGAAATTTACAGGAAATGGATAAACTTTTGGAAACATGAAGGATCTCTGTGGATGAACCCCAGTAAAAAGAAGTGGTCATCAAAGAAGGATGCACTGTCTCAGAAGGGAGGAGAGCATTTCCACTTTGCTGATGGCCTTACCTAAATACTGACAGAGTTTGTGGACTCAAAAGGTTTCCATAGCCTAGGCAGCTCATGGCAAGAGCCTCGGGTAGTGACAGATGTCATACATAAGAGTGTTAATTGCTAAATGAACAACAAGAGTCACTGTGCACTAACTTCCCATGCAGGACCTCTGGCCTCAAAGAGTTGTATTAGGAGAGTTAGCAATAAAACTTGATTTCAAAGATTTATTGCATTTTAATGTATTAAGTGGAGGATATACTTATGTCTCATAAATATCAGTTTGGCCAAAGTGTCCAACTCCATTGCTTGCTTTCTTAGATGTTTCTTTAATTAACAACAAAGCTGTTTTCCAAAGACTTACTTTCTTTTAATGTATTAAGTGAAGGATACTCTTATCCCTCCATGAATGCATTTGTCCACTTAACCCTGACACAGTAACAGGTACATAGGAAGGAAGAAATAGAAGTCCTCTGCTGTACTTCTCATATTTGTAGCCTGGAGTGAAGTGGAGACTGTACACAAGATATGTTCAGTAGCTCAGCCAGCAGCTCACCACAGGGAGTAATGCCATCTGCAATAACAACAGCAAACCTTTATTCTTGCAGTTTTTTCATTACTTTCTCACTCAAAACTAGCTCTCTGCATATTATCATCAATAGCAGAATGTTCTAAATAATTTTTTTCTGTAGTGGAAAGTATTCCCTATATTTATGTCTTGATACACAATTTATCAATACACTGATCCAATGACTTGAAAAAAAATCATTTATTTCTTCATTAGTAAAAGATGTAGAAAAAGTTTCCAATGTAATTCCAGATTCTTCATTGAATAAAATAAAACAGAAGGTGAAGATGTCAGAACAGTTGCTGCAGGAACTTGCTGGATAAATACATCCAGGATTGTCTTTAAATTGAGCCAATGACCTTCGGCCATGCCAACACCTTTCCACAACTCTCCAAGCTGAGGAAACAGCTCAGCTGGATCAATAGCAGCGGAACTGGCCGGCGCCGCGGCTCAATAGGCTAATCCTCCACCTAATGGCGCCGGCACACCGGGTTCTAGTCCTGGTCAGGGTGCCGGATTCTGTCCCGGTTGCCCCTCTTCCAGGCCAGCTCTCTGCTGTGGCCTGGGAGTGCAGTGGAGGATGGCCCAAGTGCTTGGGCCCTGCACCCCATGGGAGACCAGGAGAAGCACCTGGCTCCTTCCTTCGGATCAGCGCCGTGCGCCAGCCGCGGTGCACCGGCCGTGGCGGCCATTGGAGGGTGAACCACCAGCAAAGGAAGACATTTCTCTCTGTCTCTCTCTCTCTCACTGTCCACTCTGCCTGTCAAAAAAAAAAAAAAAAAAATAGCAGCAGAACTAAAACGTGTTCCACAGACATCTTGCTCAGATGCAACAGTTTTTCTCCAACTGCTATTCCTTTCTTTAGCTACTCTCACTTATATCAAAGTAGTAATTTAACAAGAAGTTAAAATATAACTCGTACTGGTCAAAGTACATATATAAATAATCAGAGCTTGTGAACCTGAGGCCGTGTATAAAAAGCAAGATGACTTGCAAGTTACCCATGTTACATAAGAGATTTTAGAATGGTACCAGGAGCCGGCGCTGTGGCATAATTGTAAAAGCTGCTGCCTGCAGTGCCAGCATTCCATACAGGTGCCGGTTCGAGTCTCAGCTGCTCCACTTCCAGTCCAGCTCCCTGCTATGGCCTGGGAAAGCAGTAAAAGATGGGAGACTGGGAAGAAACTTCTGGCTCCTGGCTTTGGAGCAGCCCAACTTCGGCCATTGTATCCATTTGGGAGTGAACTAAAGAATGGAAGATCTCTTTCTCTCTCTCACTCTCTCTCTCTCTGTAATTATGCCTTTCAAATAAATAAATGAATTTTGAAAAAGAATAGTGAATATATATATATATATTTTTTTTTTTTGGACAGGCAGAGTTAGTGAGAGAGAGACAGAGAGAAATGTCTTCCTTCCATTGGTTCATCCCCTAAATGGCCGCTACAGCTGGCGTGCTGTGCCAATCCGAAGCCAGGAGCCAGGTCTTCCTAGTCTCCCACGTGGGTGCCGGGCCCAAGCACTTGGGCCATCCTCCACTGCATTCCCAGGCCACAACAGAGAGCTGGACTGGAAGAAGAGCAACCGGGAGGGAATCCGGCACCCCGACCAGGACTAGAACCTGGGGTACCAGCGCCGTAGGTGAGGATTAGCCTATTGAGCTGTGGTGCCAGCTGATGGTCCACATGTCTTGGATAACATGGTTCAGGGGATTTTTTTTTTTTTAGTAAAAACTCAGATAGTATAATTCACATATATACAATTCACAAATTTGGGTATTACAATTTAATGTTTCATAGTATATTCACATGAATGTGTAACTACCAATACTATCAATTTTTTAAGGTTTTGATCCTCAAAAAGAAACCTTACATCCTTTATCCTTTTTCTCAACATTTTCCAATTTCTTATGCCTGCAATCATAAGCAAGTACTAACTTGCTCTGTGTCTCGTAAATATTCCTATTCTGGAAATTTTATGTACATGGAATTATATGCAGCTTGAGCAGGAACAATGTATAAAAAGGTTACCATTATTTTTAAAGATTTAGGAACAAAATGATACTTCCCACCCTATCCTTCCACCCACCCATGCTCCAAACTTTATTCCTCCTCCCTCTCCCATTTCCACTCTTTTTACAATGATTTACATTCAGTTTACTTAATGATTGTAAAGTTAACCCTATGCTAAGTAGAAGAGTTCAACAAATAGTATGAGAAAAATATCACTGTTCCTCAGCAGAAGAGACAGGGCTGCAAACAATCATGCCCTCCTAAAAGTTAATTGGGAAATGAAAAATGAATGGATATATAACTTTTTTTTTATTTTTTAATTTTTTGACAGGCAGAGTGGACAGTGAGAGAAAGAGAAAGAGAGAAAGGTCTTCCTTTTTTTTTTTTGCCGTTGGTTCTCCCTCCAATGGCCGCCGCAGCCAGCGCACCGCGCTGATCTGCAGGAGCCAGGTACTTATCCTGGTCTCCCATGGGGTGCAGGGCCCAAGCACTTGGGCCATCCTCCACTGCACTCCCTGGCCACAGCAGAGAGCTGGCCTGGAAGAGGGGCAACCGCGACAGAATCCGGTGCCCAGATCAGGACTAGAACCCGGTGTGCCGGCGCCGCAAGGCGGAGGATTAGCCTAGTGAGCCACGGCGCCAGCCTTGGATATATAACTTGTAATTGAAAGCTTAAGAGAATAAAAGCATGATGAGAATTCTAACAATAGACCTAAAAAGAATAATGTGTGGTAAGGGAAAACAAACTACATAGGAATCTTAATTTATTACAGATAAGTACACACTAATATCTCAAAACATTCATTTCATTGGATATTCGATAATGAATTTATATTAATTCAAATATTAATACAGATTCATTGATTTTTAATCGTTTTTTTTAAAAGAAACACCTACAACAAAGTGACCCATAAATGTTACCTAAGTACATATATCCTTGTAATTATATATATATGCATAATTATGAATACACATTTACAACTACCTAGTCTCTCTCTTTGCTTCCAGGGTTTCATCATGTGATCATTCTTCCATACTCACCATTACCAGCCTCCAAGACACTAAAATATGAGGCTAACCAATTCTTAATTATAGCCTCCAGGTTGTAAGCTGAAATAAATTTTTCTTTTCCAAGGAGCTTCATTGGGTATTTTAATTAAAATGACACAAATTGGACTAATATACACTGTTCAGTAATACAGCACATTGTAGAGCATTCATCATTTTCTCTCTTGATCACTTCACTGATGGGGTGCTGTGGTCCCTTTCCTCTGTCCAACAACATTAGAATATTAGTATGACACACCACTATCCCTGGAAACAGTTATAATTTAAATTCTAAATACTACTAAGTATGTATTGCTTGCCACTGTCATAGCAGAGGATCATCTGTACATTGGATTGGTAAGTATTAATATTCATTATTGATGAGACATCAAAATACTGGCCACTCTAGTGCTGGCTTGGTGGTTCAATGAATAGAGTGGCATTTGCTGAAGAGAACACATGGACCCAACAGAATAGACTTCCTGTAAGCAAGATTATTGAGACAGTACTTAAACCAAAAATGCAACCTGTTAATATGTCAGCTACCATTATATATCTAAACATCAGGCATGTGACTCCCAGTTGAGCTATAAATTCAGTGGGTAAACCCTAAGCTTACTTTTATTAGAACATATACATTCACCCTTATTTAAGAACTTCATTTTTTAAACTTTTATTTAATGAATATAAATTTCCAAAGTACAGCTTATGGATTACAATGGCTTTTTACCCCCCATAACTTGCCTCCCACCCACAACCCTCCCCTCTCCCACTCCTTCTCCCCTTTTGTTCACATCAAGATTCATTTTCAATTCTCTTTATATACAGAAGATCAGTTTAGTATATATTAAGTAAAGATTTCAACAGTTTGCACCCACACAGAAACACAAAGTGAAAAATACTGTTTGAGTACTAGTAATAGTTTTAATTCTCATTGTGCAACACATTAAGGACAGAGATCCTACATGAGGAGTAAGTGCACAGTGTCTCCTGTTGTTGACTTAACAAATTGACACTCTTGTTTATGGTGTCAGTAATCACCCTAGGCTCTTGTCATGAGTTGCCAAGGCTATGGAAGCCTTTTGAGTTCACCGACTCTGATCATATTTAGACAAGGTCATAGTCCAAGTGGAAGTTCTCTCCTCCCTTCAGAGAAAGGTACCTCCTTCTTTGAAGACCTGTTCTTTCCATTGGGATCTCACTCACAGAGATCTTTCATTTAGGTGTTTTGTTTTGTTTTGTTTTGTTTTTGCCAGAGTGTCTTGGCTTTCCATGCCTGAAATACTCTCATGGGCTTTTCAGCCGGATCTAAATGTCTTAAGGGCTGATTCTGAGGCCAGAGTGCTGTTTAGTACATCTGCCATTCTATGAGTCTGCTGTGTATCCCTCTTCCCATGTTGGATCGTTAATAACTTCATTTTTAAAAAGTCATTGAATTTACTTTCCTAAATCTTACTATGATGAAGTTTCCAAATGTAAAACAACACTTGGCATGCTAGCAAACAACAGATGTGAAATACTGTTTTCTTTCACTATATATTTAAATGTTTATTTTTCATCTACTTGGAAAGCAGAGTAAAAGAGAAAAGTATGTGTGTGTGTGTGCAGCAAAGAGAGAGAGAAGAAGAATAGAGAGAGAGAGAGAAAGAATCTTCCCTCTGGATTGAATCTTCCTGCTGGATTGGATGCAGAGCAGCTAAGACTCCAACTGGCACTCTGGTATGGGATGTGGGCATCCCAAGCAGTGGCTGAACTCACTGTGGCACAATAGCAACCCCATTGCACATGTTTGTATTACATTAACTTCCCTCCACATATAACTTGGTTTTATTGCATCTGGAGCCTATAGATACTTCTCATTGGTTAGATGTCTAAACGTTCATCAACAGAGGACACTGGATTGACTCTAGAAAGTGTTAAAAGTAGGGAGACATATCTATTCCAGGGCCCTACTCTCCATTTGTGGTTATTGTGGGATTCTAAGAACATACACATCAAAGGATAAACTTATGAACATTAAGGAATGCTTATAATTCAAGAAGAAAACTTTTATTTAGCATATATCTATTACTTGTCCTTTAATAAATCATGATTTCTACATGTAACCTGTTATTCTAAACCCTTATTACATTTACACAATCGATTTCTGATGTAAATGGACTAAGTTATATGTGTTATTTTCAATGTTGAGAATATATTCATTTCTTTTTTGTCTTCAATCTAAGGTACAAAGAAATTCACTAAAAACTGTCCTAATGTTGCCAGAGTTGTGACTAGGTGGCTTAAGCTGTGACACTGGTATCCCATATGAGTACCGTACGGAGTCATGTCTGCTACACTTGGAATTCAGCTCCCTGCTAATTTATCTAGGAAAGAAGTGGAAGAGGATCAAATGCCTGGGCCCCTGCCACTCACATGGGTGACCCATGTCCTGGCTCCTAGCTTCAGACACACCAACCCCCAACTGTTGTAGCCATTTGTGGAGTGAACCAGTAAATGGATAATCTCTTTCTCTGTCTGTAACTCTGCTTTTTAAGTAAATAAATAAATTGTAGAAAAATAAAAGTGATAAAATACTTCACCAAAGTTTAACCAAGTTTCTACTTCTACTAATTGGTAGGTTGTGTCACTAAATGTGACTCTAGACACAGTGCTAAGTATTTGCTCAAGGAAATATATTTTAATCCAAAATGTACATTGTTCAAGCCATCTTCACCTACCATTATCAGTAATTTTCCACTTACTCACACTATAGTTTTCTATTTCCACATACACAACTTGTCCCTTTTCAGGTAATCCTTTTATTTTTTTAAAGATTTTATTTATTTATTTGAAAGAGTTACACAGAGAGAGGAGAGTCAGAAAGAGAGAGAGAGAGAGAGAGAGGTCTTCCATCTGAAGGTTCACTCCCCAGATGGCCACAATGGATGGATCTGTGCCAATCCGAAGCCAGGAGCCAGGAGCTTCTTCTCGGTGTCCCACATGGGTGCAGGGGCCCAAGGACTTGGGCCATCTTATACTGCTTTCCCTGGGCCATAGCAGAGAGCTGGACAAGAAATGGAGCAGCCAGGTCTCGAACTGGCACCCATACTGGATGCCGGCGCTTCAGGCCAGGGCATTAACCCATTGCACCACAGTGCCGGCCCCAAGAATCTCTGTGATTCTTGGACAACAACACATATGAGGGCACACTGAGAGGTTTAAAGAAAAATTGAATGAGAGTACAACTTTATATGGTGAAAATAATTTTGAAATTCATGAGTAGTTTTCTTTTCCTATAATATAGGTTGTTCGTAAACATTTCAAAGATCTTTGTATGCGCCACTAAATTACATTTCAACTAGTGGGTATTTCCAAAAATGCATATTAAAACATTAGCCTTTTCATCCTTCTATATCAATAGGCTAAGGTTCTGGTGACTCATATTTTAGTAAAAATACTATGTGTGTGTGTACATATATATATATAAAATTTTGAAATTATAATTGTTCTTTGCTAAACATACAACCTTGAGTAAAATATTTAGGTGTCTCAGAAATGCATTCATCTTGTAACAATGGAAGATAGTCTGGCCACAGCTTAATCCCTAGTGGTTGAAAAAGTTGAATGACTATGACTACCAGCTTTAGGTTTCAAAGAATTCGTCATCTATCCTGTCTTTCCTGACACAAACTTTCGGCAATCAAAGAAAGTACATTTTATGACAAAGAAATTATGACTTCAGTGCAGAAGAGCAGCAACACAGTCACATTCAAACATTAGTGTGGGAATCAAGTAAAGTTGTAGGCTTTTGGTCATCAGTGATTGGATACTTGATCCAGCAAACTGCTAGGATTCCGGACCTTCATAGACTGATCATGGAGTTTGGTTGCTAACCACATGGCCTTTGTATGATGGCTGAAAGAAAATCACAGACACCAAATTATACAATAAATTAGAAAAGATTAATAGGGGTAATTTTCATGCAGATGTTGAAAATATGTGCCATAGACATTCCATATTGGAGTGCCAGCTCCAGCCCCAGCTGCTTTGATTCCAATCTGGCACCCTGCTAATGCATCCTGGGATGCAGCAGATGATGGCTCAAGCATATGAGTCCCTGCCATCCACATGAGACACACAGATGGAGCTCTGGGATCCTGGTTTGGCCTGGAACAGCCCTGGTCATTGTAATCATTTGAGGAGTGAACCAGCAGGTAGAAGATCAATCTCTGTCTCAATATCTGTCTCTCTCTCACTCTCTGCCTTCCAAATGAATAAATCTTTTTTTCCTTTTGTTTGACAGGAAGAGTTAGACATTGAGAGAGACAGAGTGAGAGACAGAGAGAAAGGTCTTCCTTTTCCATTGGTTCACCCCTCAATGGCCACTACGACTGGCGCGCTGTGGCCAGCGCACCGCGCCGATCCAGAGCCAGGAGCCAGGTGCCTCTCCTGGTCTCCCATGTGGGTGCAGGCCCAAGCACTTGGGCCACCCTTCACTGCACTCCCAGGCCACAGCAGAGAGCTGGACTGGAAGAGGAGCAACCGGGACAGAATCCGGCTCCCCAACTGGGACTAGAACCCGGGGTGGTGGCGCCGCAGGCAGAGGATTAGCCTAGTGAGCTGCAGCACCGGCCCTCAAATAAATAAATCTTAACAAAAAGAAGTAGAATGTTGTTTACCAAAGAAGGAAGGAAGGAAGGAAGGAAGGAAGAAAGAAAGAAAATATGTGCCACAAAAAAATGGAAGAAAAAACATCACATTTCATACATTTTTTAGTGATTGTTATAAAGCTCTAAATTTAAGAGCCATAATTTTTTAGATGCATGGGTTTTCAAAACTTGAAGAGAGAAATTGAACAAGAAAGATAATTTATATTCTAGAGATTAGAATGAGTTTAATCCCAAAGGAAGAGGGTAAAAATACTATCACTTGATGGTATAAAACTTAAATTATCCCATAAGCAATTGCTAATGATTAATAGACCTGGTATACTAGGCATAAAACACTATCAAAATAAAGAGATAAGAGGCAAGTCCATGACAAAGTTCAGATACATGCACAAAGTAATAGCATTGACCAGAAATTGATATTGACTTTATATCAGTGAATTAATGTTTGAAGTCTGAAAGTATATTGCTTTTGTTTGAATCCTGAATTTGATACTTAATATCTATTTTTGATTCTTCCTGTTCTTCAGTTTTTCAATGTTAAATGAAATAGATAGAAATATGTGATTATCCTGAGTCCTAAGTATTAGTTCTTAAAATACTCAGATTTATTTTATCGTATAGTATACTTATATAATATTGCTAGAGTTTCAGTAAATGTTTATAATTTTGATCTTGTTGGCTTTCTTGTTAGTTCTTTTAGAATCTGTGTTATTAAGCATTTACTTAAAGCACTGAAGCCACAGGTATTATTTATACTGTTGAAATTACTATAGCAAACTGGAAAAGAAAGACAAGTGAAGAGAGGGACATGACTTCCAACCTCTAAAACACAAAGTGCTATAGACTGGCACTATAGAACTAGCAATACAGATAACTTGTACCACTATTTTAATAATTTGAAGGACTATCTTTTGAGAGGAGGCCATGAATATTGATATATTTTTATATATTATTGGGAAATACTATAATCAACTTACTTAATTCTTTCAAAAATGAGTAAAATGGGCATATCATAAGCATTTTGGCATGTATTAGCTAATAAAGAATTTTTCATCTTGTCATTAAGATTATGTTTATCAAAATTAATAAATGTAGAGGGCTGGTGCCTAGGCTAAACTTGGTTAATCCTCTGCCTGCGGTGCCAGCAACCCATATGGGCACCAGGTTCTAGTCCCCGTTGCTCCTCTTCCAGTCCAGCTCTCTGCTGTGGCCCAGGAGGGCAGTGGAAATGGCCCAGGTGCTTGGACCCCTGCACCCACATGGGAGACCAGGAGGAAGCACCTGGCTCCTGGCTTCAGATCGGTGTAGCACCAGCCGTGGCAGCCATTTGGGGGGTGAACCAATGGAAAAGGAAGACCTTTCTCTCTCTGTCTCTCTCTCTCACTGTCTATAACTCTACCTGTCAAATAAATTTTAAAAAAAGTAATAAATGGAAAAAGAAGCAGTAGAGAAATATGCTTTTACATTAAGCCACCAAACAAGAAATCATTTTTCTCTGAAAAAAAATGAAAAAAAAAACATGTGCTTCTCATGGTTCTCGTTATAAACAATAGTTGTACCAAACTTAAAATAACACTTTTTAAAATCATCATGTCCAACTGAGGTGGTGAAAAAATAGACGGTGGGTGAGAGAACTCACGGAGTTCACGTGAGTACTCTCCAGAGATGCAACAATTTGGTAACCTTGGCAACCAGTGGGAGACTGCAGGAGAATTTGAGTGCATACTGAGGGCAGAACAGATTCTTTGTGTGGTCCTGGGGAAAAAAGCAGATGAATGATATACCCACAGAAGGCAGAGATAGGAAGCTAATTACCTTCAATTCTGCTCAGCTGTGCAGTATGGTATTACTTCCCTCCTGAATCAAATATATATATATGTATAAATAAAGAGAGAGAGGTTTACCATGCCTAACCTGAGTGTGTCACCTTTGGCACACCCTTAAACCTGAAGAACCAAGCAAACCCCTCTGGCCACACCCATCTCAAGCCTCAAGCCTCTAAGGCTCCTCCAAAAGCATAAAGTCCACTTAACACAGTCATAGTATAACAAGGATAAAACACAACAGCAAGGGAAGAAGAATTCAAAGAATATCTCCACAAGGCCAAGCAACAAACACAGAAACTGAGGGAACAAGATAAAGGAACACATTATGATGCCCCCAAATGAACAAGACACCCCAAGCCAAGATTAGGAAGATGATGAGATAGAAGAAATGCAAGATAAGGATTTCAAAAAAATTTATGATAAGAACATTTAGAGGTTTTCAAAAACAAATTCTTGAACTACAGAAATCCTTACTGGACAGGATAGAAAATCTCTCTCGAAAAATGAAATCTTAAGAAGGAATGAAAATGAAACACAGAAACTAGTAGAACAGGAAAGTGTGATAGTGAAGAGAAATCAAAATGAAATGAAGAACTCAATAGATCAAATGACAAACACATTAGAGAGCCTTAAAACAGAGTCAGTGAGACAGAAGAGAGAATATCAGACTTAGAAGACAGAGCACAGGAAAGTATACAGTCAAACCAAAGAAAAGAAGAGGAAATTAGAAATCTAAAAAATATTGTTGGGAATCTATAGGGTACTATTAAAAAAAACCAACATTCGGGTTCTAGGAGTTTCTGAAGGCATGGAGAGGGAGAAAGGATTAGAAGGCCTTTTTAGTGAGATATTAGCAGAGAACTTCCCGGGTTCGGAGAAGGACAGAGACATCCTAGTACAGGAGGCTCATAGAATCCCTAGTAAACATGACCAAAAGAGGTCCTCACCATGACACGTTGTAATTAAACTCACCACAGTGAAACATAAAGAAAAGATCCTAAAATGTGCAAGAGAGAAATGTCAGATTACTCTCAGAGGATCTCCAATCAGACTCACAGCTGACTTCTCATCAGAAACCCTACAAGCTAGGAGGGAATGGCGAGATATAGCCCAGGTACTAAGAGAGAAAAACTGCCAGCCCAGAATATTATATCCTGCAAAGCTCTCATTTGTGAATGAAGGTGAAATAAAGACCTTTCATAGCAAACAGAAATTGAAAGAACTTGTCGCCACTCATCCACCCCTACAAAAAAACGCTTAAAGATGTGTTACACCCACAAACAAAGAAACACGGCCATCAATATGAAAGAAAGTAAAGGAAGAAAACCTACCAGTAAAAGATCATAGGAAGCTCAAAGCATATACTAGAAAATATCTTTGGGAAAATGTCAGGGCAAAGTCACTACTTATCAATAGTCACATTGAACGTTAATGGCCTGAACTGTCCAGTTAAAAGGCACAGATTGGCTGAATGGATTAAGGAACAAAACCCATCTATTTGCTGCCTACAAGAAACACATCTTTCCAACAAAGATGCAGGCAGACTGAAAGTGAAAGGTTGGAAAATGCTATTCCATGCAAACAGGAACCAAAAAAAAAAAAGCAGGTGTAGCCATCTTAATATCAGACATAATAAACTTTAACACAAAAACTGTGAAGAGAGACAAAGAGGAACACTATATAATGATTAAGGGTTCAATTCAACAGGAAAGATGTAACTATTATAAATGTATATGCACCTAATTACAGGGCACTGGTTTATTTAAAAGACATGTTAAGGGACTTAAAGAGAGACTTAGATTCCAATACAATAGTACTAGGTGACTTCAATACTCCACTCTCAGAAGAAGGCAGATCAACTGGAAAGAAGATCAACAAGGGAACAATAGATTTAAATGACACTATTGCCAAAATGGATTTAACAGATATCTACAGAAATTTTCATGCTACACATAAAGAATTTACATTCTTCTCAGCAGTACATGGAACCTTCTCTAGGAATGACCACATACTATGCCATAAAGCAAGTCTCAAAAAATTTAAAAGAATTAGAATCATACCATGCAGCTTCTCAGACCATAGTGGAATGAAGTTGGAAATTAGCAACTCAGGAATCCCTAGAACATATGCAAACACATGGAGATTGAACAACATGCTCCAGAATGAACACTGGGTCATAGAAAAAATCAAAAGAGAAATCAATAACTTTCTGGAAGTAAATGAGGACAACAGAACAACATACAGATATATACAGAACTTTCAATCCTACAGCTAAAGATTTTACATTCTTCTCAGCAGTACATGGAACCTTCTCTAGGATTGACCACATACTAGGCCATAAAGCAAGTCTCAGCAAATTCAAAAGAATTAGAATCATACCATGCAGCTTCTCAGACCATAAAGGAATGAAGGTGCAAATTAGCAACTCAGGAATCCCTAGAGCATACGCAAACACATGGAGATTGAACAACATGCTCCTGAATGAACAATGGGTCATAGAAGACATTAAAAGAGAAATCAAAAATTTTCTGGAAGTAAATGAGGATAACAGCACAACATACCAAAACTTATGGGACACAGCAAAAGCAGTGTTAAGAGGAAAGTTTATATCAATAGGTGCCTACATCAAGAAATTGGAAAGGCACCAAATAGATGAGCTTTCAACGCATCTCAAGGATCTAGAAAAACTGCAGCAAACCAGACCCAAATCTAGTAGGAGAAGAGAAATAATTAAAATCAGAGAAGAAATCAACAGGATTGAATCCAAAAAAACATTACAAAAAATCAGCCAAACAAGGAGCTGGTTTTTTGAAAAAATAAACAAAATTGACACCCCATTGGCCCAACTGACTAAAAAAAGAAGAGAAAAGACGCAAATCAATAAAATCAGAGATGAAAAAGGAAACGTAACAACAGACACCACAGAAATAAAAAGAATCATCAGAAATTACTACAAGGACCTCTATGCAAGCAAACAGGGAAACCCATCAGAAATGGATAGATTCCTGGACACATGCAACCTACCTAAATTGAACCAGGAAGACATCGAAAACCTAAACAGACCCATAACTGAGACAGAAATTGAAACAGTAATAAAGGCCCTCCCAACAAAGAAAAGCCCAGGACCAGATGGATTCACTGCTGAATTCTACCAGACATTTAAAGAAGAACTAACTCCAATCCTTCTCAAACTATTCAGAACAATCGAAGAAGAGGGAATCCTCCCAAATTCTTTCTATGAAGCCAGCATCACCTTAATTCCTAAGCCGGAAAAAGATGCAGCACTGAAAGAGAATTACAGACCAATATCCCTGATGAACATAGATGCAGAAATCCTCAATAAAATACTGGCCAATAGAATGCAACAACACATCAGAAAGATCATCTACCCAGACCAAGTGGGATTTATCCCTGGTATGCAGGGATGGTTCAATGTTCGCAAATCAATCAACGTGACACCACATTAATAGACTATAGAGAAAAAACATATGATTATCTCAATAGACGCAGAAAAAGCATTTGATAAAATACAACACCCTTTCATGATGAAAACTCTAAGCAAACTGGGTATGGAAGGAACATTCCTCAATACAATCAAAGCAATTTATGAAAAACTCACGGCCAGCATCCTATTGAATGGGGAAAAGTTGGAAGCATTTCCACTGAGATCTGGTACCAGACAGGGGTGCCCAATCTCACCACTGTTATTCAATATATTTCTCGAAGTTTTAGCCAGAACTATTAGGCAAGACAAAGAAATTAAAGGGATATACATTGGGAAGGAAGAAAAACTATCCCTCTTTGCAGATGATATGATTCTTTACTTAGGGGATCCAAAGAACTCTACTAAGAGACTATTTGAACTCATAGAAGAGTTTGGCAAAGTAGCAGGATATAAAACCAATGCACAAAATCAACAGCCTTTGTATACACAGGCAATGCCACGGCTGAGAAAGAACTTCTAAGATCAATCCCATTCACAAGAGCCACAAAAAATCAAATACCTTGGAATAAACTTAACCAAGGATGTTAAAGATCTCTACGATGAGAACTGAAAAATCTTAAAGAACGAAATAGAAGCGGATACCAAAAAATGGAAAAATCTTCCATGCTCATGGATTGGAAGAATCAATATCATCAAAATGTCTATTCTCCCAAAAGCAATTTATAGATTCAATGTGATACCAATCAAAATACCAAAGACATTCTTCTCAGATCTGGAAAAAAATAATGCTGAAATTCATATGGAGACACAGGAGACCTCAAATAGCTAATGCAATCTTATACAACAAAAACAAATTTGCACCCCATGTGAGACCAGGATAAGTACCTCGCTCCTGCCATCGGATCAGCGCGGTGCGCCGGCCGCAGTGCGCTGGTCACGGCGGCCATTGGAGGGTGAACCAATGGCAAGGGAAGACTTTTCTCTCTTTCTCTCTCTCACTGTCCACTCTGCCTGTCAAAAAAAAAAAAAAAAAACAAAGCTGAAGGCATCACAATACCAGATTTCAGGGCATACTACAGGGAAGTTGTTATCAGAACAGAATGGTACTGGTACACAAACAGTTGGATAGACCAATGGAACAGAATAGAAACACCAGAAATCAATCCAAACATCTACAGCCAACTCATATTTGATCAAGGATCCAAAACCAAGCCCTGGAGTAAGGACAGTCTATTCAATAAATGGTGCTGGGAAAACTGGATTTCCATGTGCAGAAGCATGAAGCAAGACCCCTACCTTACACCTTACTCAAAAATCCACTCAACATGGATTAAAGACCTAAATCTATGACACGACACTATCTAATATTAGAGAATATTGGAGAAACCTTGCAAGATACAGGCACAGGCTAAGACTTCTTTGAAAAGACCCCAGAAGCATAGGCAGTCAAAGCCAAAATTAACATTTGGGTTTCCATCAAATTGAGAAGTTTCTATGCTGCAAAAGAAACAGTCAGGAAAGTGAAGAGGCAACCAACAGAATGGGAAAAATATTTGCAAACTATGCAACAGATAAAGGGTTAATAACCAGAATCTACAAAGAAATCAAGAAACTCCACAACATCAAAACAAACAACCCACTTAAGAGATGGGCCAAGGACCTCAATAGACATTTTTCAAAAGAGGAAATCCAAATGGCCAACAGACACATGAAAAAACGTTGAGGATCACTAGCAATGAGGGAAATGCAAATCAAAACCACAATGAGGTTTCACCTCACCCCGGTTAGAATGGCTCACATGCAGAAATCTACCAACAACAGATGCTGGCGAGGATGTGGGGGAAAAGGGACACTAACCCACTATTGGTAGAAATGCAAACTGGTCAAGCTACTATGGAAGTCAGTCTGGAGATTTCTCAGAAACCTGAAGATAACCCTACCATTCAACCCAGCCATCCCACTCCTTGGAATTTACCCAAAGGAAATTAATGTGGCAAACAAAGAAGTGGTCTGCACCTTAGTGTTTATTGCAGCTCAATTCACAATAGCTAAGACCTGGAATCAACCCAAATGCCCATCAACAGTAGACTGGATAAAGAAATTATGGGACATGTACTCTATGGAACACTATGCAGCAGTCAAAAACAATGAAATCTGGTCATTTGCAACAAGATGGAGGAACCTGGAAAACATCATGCTGAGTGAAATAAGCCAGTCCCAGAGGGACAAATATCATATGTTTTCTCTGATTGGTGACAACTAACTGAGCATCAAAAAGGAAACCTGATGATGTGAAATGGACACTATCAGAAACAATGACTTGATCAGCCGTTGTCCTGACTGTTGATGTTCAATTTAATACTACATCCCTTTTAGTATTTTTGTTTGTTTTGCTTAATACCATTGGTTGAGCTATGTAATTAACACACAATTATTCTTAGGTGTTTAAAGTTAACTGAAAAGTGATCTCTGTTAACTACAAGAGTGGGAACAAGAGAGGGAGGGGATGTACAGTTTGGGATATGTTTAAGCTGACTTGCCCCAAGTGGTGGATTTAGAAATGTGCCTACTTCTACTTTGTCCTCAGTGATTGTTTGTAATCATGCTATAACACTCTTAAGCAATTTTTCTCATTCAAAATCTGTGTTCTATCCTTAAACTCCTACAAATCTTCCCACTAAATAGCAGTTGCTTACCTTTTCTTTTTTAGACAGTAATTTTCCTTTGATAATGTTATTTATTTATTTATTTATTCAAAAAGCAGAGTGATGGATTGACAAGGAAAACTTCCCCCATCTGCTGCTTTATTCTGCAAATGTCTACAATGGCAAGGACTGTCCAGCCCAAAACCAGGAGCCGGAAATTCAATTCAGGTTGTCAACATAGATAGCAGGGCCCTACTTTTTGAGCCAATACCAAGGTTCTGCTGTAGTCATGAGCCAGTGCCAAGTTCTGAGCTAAAGTACTCCACTATATGGATACACGTGTCTTTACCAACATGTTAGATGCTAGGCCAAAAGCTCTCTCTAGCTTACCTTTTAGGAACCAACATATTCACATAAAAATCTGGGAAGCACTAAATGTTAATGTGAGGACAGCATTTAGCCTACTTGAAATACCTGTGTCTCATATAAAGTATCTCTTCTATATCCAGCTCTATTTCTAACTCCTGATTCCTGGTAATGCAGACCTCAGGAGCCCACCATAATAATTGGGTCCCTACCACTCAGTTTGGACACCTGAATTCGCTTACAGCTTCTGACTCCAGCCCCAGCTGGGCACAATTGCAGGTATTTGAGGAGTGAAGCAACAGATGGGAGCTCTCTTACCTTTCTTTCACTCTACCTCTGCTTTTCTATCTAATAAATACATTTTAAAAAATAAAAAATCGAATTAGGATTAGTAATTGATTATATTATGCTTATTTTCTGAAAAAATTATTTAGAAGTCTTCAGAATATTTGCATTTTCATGGAGAAAGAATATGATAACCAGCATCGGTACTTGATTCTGACATGGAACAATTCCCAAAAATCACTGGAGGAGCTTCTGTAGAATTTCCAAAATGGAGTCTGCTTCCCCAGTGGGTAGAAGGTCAGTGAGTGGCATCAGGGTAGTAAAAGAAAGGAGGTATTTATTGCCAATCACAGATCAAGGGGCAGGGCAGCTATCACTTTATTGCTGGGCTCCCTGTGAGGTCATAGGTAAAGGTCCTCTTGGGTTGAAGCAGGGGGTGAGAGGTATGTGTTCAGCCTCTGTTCAAGTTCCTAGTTGATATGCAGTGTACTCGGTTCTCCTTTGATTGGTCAGTGAGACTGTGTCCTTCATGAAATTTTGATAATCATTGAGTGAGCTTCAATCCAGGAGCTGCATGACAGTGACGGTTACATTCTCCTCCTGGTCTAGATTTCATTGTAAAGTATCCCTTGAGACAAGATGGAACATTAAGATGTTATCTACTAGAGAAGCAAATGAACTTGTTAGTCCAGTGATTACACTGTTAATTCAGGGAGCTTATTTTATCAAGAGGTTTACTTGCAATAAAAAAGGGCAGGGCAAGGAGACTTTAAGCTACAGGAGGGAGGCTGGGAGACAGGGAACTGATGATCTCCAGCGTTTGCATTCATGGTACTGTATAGGAGCTGTATTTCAGTTCCCTACTTCTACTTTGTCCTCAGTGATTGTTTGTAATCATGCTATAACACTCTTAAGCAATTTTTCTTGTTCAAAATTTGTGTTCTATCCTTAAACTCTTACAAATCTTTCCACTAAAACCACTGTGGGGTGCTGGCACTGTGGCTGAGTGGATAAAGCCACTGCCTAGGGTGCTTGTCTGCACCTACATAGGAGACCCAGAAGAAGCTCCTGGCTCTTGGCTTCAAATTGGTGCAGTTCTGGCCATTGTGGCCATCTCTCTCTCTCTCTCTCTCTCTCTCTCTCTCTCTCTTCTTCTCTGTAACTCTGCTCTTCAAATAAATAAAATAAATCTTAAAAAAAAAAAAACACCGTGGGTGGCAGGGACCATTATTGACTATTTTTAAAGCAAAAAGTACACCTGTACTCATCATTATGGTTATTTTCAGGATTAGTGTTGTCAACTTGGCCTACATGCAAAATATACAAATATAACTAAAAAATAAAACATAATACTATTCATGAAGTGACTTTCCTCAGGTATTCAACAAATTTGTACTCGTCATTGTGTTCAAGTATGAAGTGACAGCTGCTTCCTTGGCCTTCACATGAGAAATATTATCTGGTTGCTAATTTAATAAATAATGTAATTTAATTTCTAATTTAATAAATGTTATCTGGTTGCTCTTTAAACAATGGAATTGAGGATGTCATTGTAGATCACCTCATAAATGTCATCAACTCCTTCATGAGTTATAAAAGCTTTGATTTTCTATAACCAAAGGTCACAGTTATTTCAGCAACCTTATTTGTTATAAATCTTAGAAATACAATGAGAAATGTTCAAAGTAAGACAACAAAAGAAGCAGTGTTCCCTGTGTTAGGTAGGAAGGAAGACTTTAGACTATGTGTATAAGAGGGACTGAAGGGAAAAAAAAAAACCAGGAAGTTCTTTTTTTTTTTAAACTTTTATTTAATGAATATAAATTTCCAAAGTACAGCTTATGGATTACAATGGCTTCCCCCCCATAACGTCTCTCCCACCCGCAACCCTTAAAAGATCTTATTTATTTTATTTGAGAGGTAGAGTTACAGACAGTCAGAGGGAGAGACAGAGAGAAAGGTCTTCCTTCCATTGGTTCACTCCCCACATGGCTGCAAAGGCTGGAGCTGCACCAATCCAAAGCCAGGAGCCAGGAGCTTCTCCCTGGTCTCCCATGCGGGTGCAGGGCCAAGCACTTGGTCCATCCTCTACTGCTTTCCCAGGCCATAGCAAAGTGCTGTATTGGAAGAGAGGCAGCTGGGACTAGAACCGACGCCCGTATGGTATGCCAGCCCTGTAGGCAGAGGATTAACCTACTGCGCCACGAACCGGCCCCCAAACAGGAAGTTCTGAAGGGAAGGAACACTGAAGCCCTGAGAAGAATGCCTAGAAAGCTGCTTGGCACCTACACATCAAAAAGTCCTGCTCGTGTCGGATAACCTCTTGGGGTTCAAGAAAAATCTTCCTGGCTGAGCACCAGGAAGACTTTTTTATTCAGTCCGATAATTATGCAATAAAGTCCCAAGGGGAATTTCACACCCAGAAAGCCCTTCACCCAGCAATATCCCAGAAGAAGACCAAGGTGGGAGGAGAGACAGCAGGAAAAGTGTGCCTAATACCCAGATAAACTGCAGTCTAAATGAAGACTGGACACCCAGTTCTTTGCTGAGTTGCCCACCTGGCCTGGTAGGTGTACTGCTTCATTCAACTTTGATAGCTGGCTTGTTGCCAATCTCTTTCCCACATCTGGAATTATTTTCTTATGGGGAACAAAAGCTCTGTTCCAGTCATTTCCCATAACACCCAGATAAGATTAGTATCTACATGAAAGTGCA